ATAATTTTTAAATGATTAATCAAAATTTATCGATTAAATTCGATTAAAATATTATCATAAAAAGCAACTTTTGGTATTAGAAATTATGAATATTAAAAAACGAAATTTACGTTTTCTTTTGCTAAATATAAAATTTTTTCTATCAAAAACTACTTTGACTTGTATACCAAAAAAATTTCGTAGCAAAAACATTAAAAATTTTCGAATCAATAAAAATTCCGAAATTCTATAAAAATCAATAGTGGTAGATTATTTTATTTTGCAAAGAACTTTTTTTAAAAAAACTTCCTTTATAGAATTTAAATAACCAAGAATTCGACAAAGAATCTTTCATACTTATAACTTAATTATACCTGGAAAACAAAAATTAGAATCGACTAAAGAATAAAATCTAACTAATTAAATCTAACTATCAGAAATAATCGAGTCTCGTTTTTGACAAATTTCTTTATCCTTGCGGAACTTCGAAAAACAATCCATTTGGCAGCGAGAATTGGCTCTTTACAAGTTGATTTAAATCAATAGATGAAAAGAATATCAGGAAGAATATCTGATTTGAATGACGGAAAAAGGAGTGTTTGTAACAACTAAATGTTTACCAATCTATATACACACGCGCATCTCATAACAAGTCGTAATACAAATACGATGGTACTGCTATCGGGTGAGTCTCTATTAAAAGTCTCTATTAAAAGTTTTTATCGCAACGATCGACATTGTTTTAGTGGCCATGCTATTTCACGATGAAAATTGATAGCGACCAGATCAATCTTCGAAGCCGAAAAAGAAAGTTATTTTCTTGCATCAACCAGGTGACACTGAAAATCCTGGAGGCCGTTCCGATACATAAGCGTTACCGGTTTTTCTTTCTTATCGTTTCGATCCGTTGCAATCAGAGTCGACTTCGTGTGCACGCAACTTCGATATTTTGTTTTTGCCTTGTTTATCTTGGCCGTTCTTTTTTTTTTTGTTTTTCTTCTTTCTACTTCTGTTTTCTTTTATCGGCCGATTATTGCATCTATTTACTTGCGCTGTAACACATGGGTCTTACACACGAGCGCGTACGTGTCTCTTCTGTATCGTATATTATAACGTAGGTACAAATAGGTTTAGATGTAAGGGATCCTTGAAGTAGATTGAGGTAAGAAATGACGAAAGGAATGTTTTTTGAATAAATATATATGATATGTACATATTTTTACGAGTATTATAATATACGAATCCTTTTCTTTGATGATTTATTAATTAATGATAACGACACAATATGTTTTAAATTATAAGTTGTAGATTTTTTTTATTAGAATTTTGTAATTTCAAGAGATGGATTATAATGAATGAATCGTATAACTTGTAAAATTTCGTAAAAGTCTGTTTGTTTTTATTATTGAATTCGTTATCCTTATATAATAGAATTTATTAAAATATAATTCATAAAAAATTTATTTATAATTATTTAATTGATCTGCTTTCTTATAATATTTCTAATAAATTGTAATAATGAGATAATGAATTAAAAATTTATATTTATAAGAAGGTATGAAACATTGCAAAAATTGAAACATTGCAAAAGATGTAAAACTTATTTATGAAAATTATAAAAAGATAATAAATTAATTGTGTGTTATTTTCTATGATTTTTTAATTTAAATTTTAAAAATAAAAAATAGATAATTTCGAGAAATCTTCTTAAAATTTTAATAATTAATATTTATTATTAATATTATATATTATTATATTTATTATTATATATTATTGATATAATGTAAAATCAAATAGAAATTTTATTGCATATAATTTCAAAAAAATTATATATAATGAATATTTAAATATATTTTTTTTTTAGTTTTTATTAGTTTTTTAGTTTTCTTTCAAATAAAGCAGCAATATTTTTTAAGATTATAATAATCTCTTAATAATTTTTTAGGTTTATATCATTTTCGTAAGTTTTCTAATAAACTGTATATGTATGATTTTACTTTATTTTTTAGTAATAGAGATACGAAAAATGATCGGATGTTAATCGATAAGCAACATGAAAAACATAGGCTATTTCAGTGAAACAGTAAAGCTTTTGACAGAAAATTGTATATTTCTTAGTAAGAAGACTATAATTATAGTTATATATTTATTAATTTGTTCTTGCATTAAAATTACATAAACAATGTTTTAAATAATATTAATTACAATATTCCTTTAAATATAACAAAAAATAATATCATATACTTTACAATTATTAAAAACTTGCATTGATATAATATTATACATATAATATATTAATTTATTTGATAGATATATTATCTATCAATCAAGAATTGTAGTTAATTGTTTTATTTTTTAAATTCATATTTAACGGATTCTATTTTTATTGAAAAAAGTCAAAATAGATTTAAAAAACTATTTTAGAATTTTTTACAACTTTATAACTTTAATGTAAAATAAAATAACTAACAAATTATAAAATTATATTTATTTAGAGTTAACTATTGATCTTTATTGCAATATTATTTTCCATAATGTAATGTAATGTAATGTATGTTCCAAAAATATGATTTTTTGTATTTTAATGATAGAGATTAAATTATAGAAAAATATATAATGCATTCTATTACATTTAAGGGAATACACAATCCAAGTTTATTCTTATGAGAAATTCATATCTCCATTTTCTTTCAAATCACTGAAGCACATTCAATCACATTTTGATAGAATATTCTACTAATAACATGAAATAAATTAATTGTACAATTTTATGCTTTTCAAAAAAGATGTAAATAAATTATTCACTAATTGATTATTAGATGTTATTATCTTATTAAATTTTTTCATTCATTTAGCAATTCGAAATTTAGTATATAAATTATATAAATTATAAAAAAATTTATTTCTAATTTCTTTTTCTAATTTAATTTAAATTTAATTCTATTTTCTATAGAAATATTTCTTTTTTAAATTATGAAAAACTAGATCAAAATGGTAATTTTATATAATTTTACAAAAGAATTAATATATTTTTTTTGAGAAACGACGATGTTTTATTTGTAAATCAACCTGAATAAGAATTTATTTGAATAAAAAATTTAGGGAAGTGAAAATCATTTATTCAGAGAGAGAAAAAAGAAAAAAAACAAAAATGATTTTATTTAGAGCGGAAATTATTGATAATCTATTTTCTTCGACAGTAGGACTTAATTTTTTGAATAAAAATTTTAATTATTTAGAAAGCAATATACCAAATAATTTAAAAAAGGATTTATATTTTCAGAATAGATAGATAATAAATGGAAATAATTATTTAAAATAAAATTTGTGTTTCCTTAAAAGAATATTAAATTTAAGAATAATAATGATAATAATAATCACAATTAATATTATAATACAAAAATGAAAAAGAAGAAATAGCTGGTTATTTTTATATAATTTTATTTTTATATATTTTATATAATATATATATATATTTTTATTAACTGGTTATTTTCATATTTCTGGTAAAATATATGGAAAAAAAAAGTTTTACGATTTTAAAAAACATAATATATTAAACAATGTAATATAATATTTTTCTAAATTTTTAAATAAAATCATTAAAAATAGAAGAAAATAATAATTAATAACAACAAATTTTTAAATAAGAAATATATTTTTAAATGACAAATAAATTTGCTGATATGATGTAATGATTTTATCATATAAAGTCACAGACAAAAATAATCATAAAAACAATCATTTTTTAAATATTTTGGCACGTAGTTTAATTTATAATATACATATAATGTAATATAAAATATAAATATAAATAAGTTGTACTTTATTTAAAAAATTAAATTCCATTTAAAAATTATTAAAAATTATAAAATAAAAATTATAATTATTATATAATATAATTATATAATATTTACATAATATTTATAAAAATTATAAAATATATTTAAAAATTATCTTTATATTTAGAAAAATTGCAATTATTAAAAATATTATTATATTAATTATTAAAAATAATTTTGTTTTTTTTCATATATTCGTATTTCGTAAAAAAAATTAATAACATTGTAAATGTTATATAATTTTCAAACTGGAAATTATATAATTTGATTTTCGAAATTTAATCATAATCTCACAAAACAGTTAATGTTTGGCAAATTACTCATAGTATACATACAAAATTTTCATTTTTTAAAACTCTATTACCAAAAAATAAAGTATGATTAAATATGTTTTATTAGACCGAAAACATTCCTTTTGTTATGCTTTACTATTTCATTCACCCTTTTTTGTGAAATAATCACCATATATAGGGTGGACCATTTAATATAATTATTAGATTTTCGTTATTATTAAATCGATTAAAATTTCTTTTGTTATTGATTTCAAGGAATTTTAAAGAATTTTCAAAGATATTTTTTCTGTTTATTTTTTTCTTAAGAAAATTTATAATATCATTTTTAAATTTCTTATATATAACTCTATAACTTTTATTTGTATTAAATGAAGAAAATGTTTTTAAATTTATCTCAATATTTTTGATTAGCAAAAAGAGCTATAGAGTTATATCCTATTATATTCTATAAAAATTTCGAAAATATTATATTAAAAATTTTCAAGAAAAAAGATATAGAAAAAACAAATATCATTGCTTTGAAGCTTTTTTGAAATCATATCACCTGAGATAAACATTTTGATCGATTCATTTATAACAAAAATAATTTAATCGTTCATGGTCCTCTCTATATATTATATACATATTGTAAAAATATATATATTATACATAATTTTTATATATATAATATACTATATAAAACACGCTGCATATACACGGTGTACACACATAAGCGAAGCATGTAACAAATGCGTGCATAAGGCATATACATATACATATAATATACATTTTTACATATTACATATACATATAATATACATGCAACTTGTTAATTATAAAAAACTAGGCGTGAGGATTTGATCTTATTTTGAAATCGAATTTTAATCGTGATTCGTTACTTTTCCAGCGACCTTGAGAAGTACTTCGAATATCAGGGTCAGGACTACATTTGCTCGCGTCCCGACGACAACGGAATGCACTCTTGCAGTAACTTACCGCCACTCAAATTGGGTAAGTGCATCTTCGATATTCAATTTTATTGGTTCAAATCTTTTTTTCTTTTTCTTTTTCTTTCCATTGGAACATGTCTTCGATTTCCCTTAACATATCTCAATATGCATTGACAAAACTTTGAAAAAAAGATATATTGCGAGATAAAAAATAAACGAGGGATCTTTTGGCAATTTTTAGAAATGTCGACAATCTATTTGTTGTTTTTTATAATTTAAAGAGAATAAAAAGAAAATCTTGATAAGTCTATTTTTATTGATTTTCTATTTTTTTTTTCTAATTAAAACGAAATGTTTTTTATAAATACGTCAATATATAAAGTATATATAAATATATAAAGTTTACTATCTATAAAAATATAAATTTAATAAAATTTTTAACTATGATCAATTTAATCAAATTATTTATAATTTTTGAACGATTGATTAATTGACAATGATTGGTTCTTGGATTAATTATTATCCGAACTACTTAAAAATAAGTAAGTTTTCTCTTAAAATTACATGTTATTATACCATATATTATATATTATATAACTATTGAATCGTTAAAAATAATAAGATGAATGAAAATAAAAGAAATGAGTAAATAATTAATTATTTTTTAATGATCAAATATTAGCTATTTAAATATTAAATTAATTACATTTGAAATTTAAAATTAATTCAAAATTTCTTAATAAAAATTACGAAAATATAATTTAAATGACTTTTGTAATTTTCAATTATTGGTGAATTAACAAAATATTTAATTATTACATAAAATCTAAATATATACAATATGTACTATAGAAAATATAATTTCTTATATGTAAAGTATAATTCAATAATAATTACATAAAAGTTGTTTCTAATGAATATTTCTTAAAAATTCTTTCAATTAAATAAATGATAAATTTATTTTTATAGTTTCTTGTCATCAGCTTAGGATCATATGTGACAAATTTATTTTATTATTTTAGCCTTAATATAATAATAAATAGCAAATTATCATTGTCAATATAAATTATGCGAATATAGATGATCATGCATATACATATAACAGTTAATTCCTTACTATCTGCTTTTAAAGTATTTAATCCTTAGTCGTTAATTATCTTATCATGGGAAAATATGTTCCAAGTGCTGCAAAGTAATATGTTCTGTTTTTTAATTAGTTAAATTCTTTTAAATTATAATAAAAATATATTCTTATCTAATATGATTTTTTATACTGCATTACAAAATAATATAGTTTAAAAATAAAAGCAATATTTATGAATATTTGTTGAAGAAAATTTTTTAAATACGGTAATAAAATACACGAATTGTAATACACGTATATATGTACATTAATATATTATATTCTTATTTTATTTTGTATGATTAATAAGTTTAGATAAATTAAATGGATCTATCTCATTTCATCTTTTAACACAAACTTAAATTGATTGTAATTTATAAGTTTTAATCAATATTTGTATGCCAATCTGTGTCTTGATTTTAAAGAAACATTAAGAAACAACTTTAAAGAAACGCTTAAGGAATGAATTTTGGGGAATCATTCGATGTTTCATTTTTACTGTAGAGAAAAAAGTGGTAATATGCAATTATAATTCGCTTTTTGTGATTTTTAAAAATTTTTATTTACATAGACATATTGACTATGACATTTAGAAAAATTAATATTATATTATTATATATAATATATATAATTATTATTATATAATATGTATTTATATTTTTATTATTGTATATAATTTAATTATTTAGTAATTATTTATTTAGTATTTATTTAGTAATTATTTAGTAATTATTTAGTAAAAATCAAATATAACAATCATTCTTGCATATAATATACATCCAAGTATATCTAAGAATATTTTTATATCATATATTTACATCAATATGTCTACATATGTTTACAAGATATTTATATCTAAGTATGTATTTAAGAAATAAAAAAAAAAAGAAATATATTTATTTAACTAATATGAAGAATTAGAATTCCGGATTTTATTTTATTCTCATATAGAATGTATATAATGTAATTTGTATTTGTTATAATTGTAATTGAATGTATATAATTTCATTTTAATAGTAAGTTAATATTATAAATTTTTTCGTATATATATATAAATCATCAAAAAATTTCATAAAATATTTTATTACAATAAGTAAATATGTTTGATAGTAAATATATTATCTATCTTAAAACTATTATAAGAATTGTCTATAGGAATAAAAAAAATTAATTACAAAAAATTAAGAAAATTCATTTAAAATCCATTCGTATCTAATTTCATTTCTTTTTTCTATTACAAATATATTGTAAAATCAGAGATATCATTGTAATATTGATTTTATTGAAACCTTCATTTCATTTCATTTATTTTCAGTAGTATTTTATATTACTATCTTTTTCTCTACAAACAAAGAAACAAACAAAGAAGCCAGTGTTTCAAGTGATGGATGTGATTGAATTTCAATTTCGTATGAAAGAATTCAAAAAATGATGACGAATAAAATGTAACTATTAACAATATTTTAGCTTTTTCGAATTTGTATTTTATTATTACATTATTTTTTTTTAAAAACATATCCATATATCTTAAATAAATATTTAAAATTAAAAATATTCCATTGAAGTTAAATAGAATTTTATTCTATTTATGATTTATTAATGATTTTTATATTTTTCATTTGAAAACTTATTAGTATTGATTTTTCATGTACAATTTTTTTTTCCATATACATTATATTGCTTTTTATATGGTTTTCATTTATGATTATTCTAAAATCAATCTATCATGCAAATAGAAGTATATATAATTTCTTGAAAATTTAAGAAATTCAAATAAAATAAAATAGTAATACTTTATAATTTTATTTGCATAATTTCTTCATGGTAATTATATTTTTTTAAAGATAAAATTAACAATCATTTCTTGAATTATTAATTTATTCTAACTTTTAACTTAATTATTATTTTCATTTCAAAAATTTTTTAACAATTATTCATAATCTTTTTATCTTTTATATGGTACTTATATAATAATATTTGCAAATTTTGCTAAAATTATATTGTTTATAAATAAAATGAAATATATTAATTATTACAATTATATCAAGTTCTAATGAGACTTTTTATTTCATAATTCTAACAAAGTATATATAAAAAGTCAAATAATTATATAATTATATAATTATATAATTTACAGGATGATAACCGAAAAAATTAATCTTATTATTGTTCTCATTAATATAAATCAATCTTAATACATTCAAATCCTGGATCAGAATTTTAGAATATTTTATACATTATTTTTAATATGAAATATGAATTAAAGATCTTGAAATTTAAAAAATAATTATTATTATTTATTATAATAAAGAAATAAATTTTATTTTTCTTTCTTTTTAGATAATGAAAATTGATTATTATTTTATAATATAGATTATGAAGATCCAATTTATAATAAATGTATTAATAATAATTGAATGCAAATATTGATTATTCCAAATCAAGAATTATATATAAAGAATAATAATTATATATATAATTGTAATATAATAAATTATAATTCTATCTTGTCGAAAAATATCGAATGACATTAATAAAAAAAATAATATAAAGTAATTATATAAAAAAAATTTAGATATATCCTTATTTTTCAATAAAGCGTTCCTTTTTTTATCAAATTTATCATAATATCAAATTTTTTTAAACGCATAAAATACTATGAATAGTATGAATAGTATATACTAATGAATAATAAAAATAATAATAAAAACCGAAATCTTAGATCTAATTAATTATAAATATTTAATAGTCATAATATAAATATTTTAATATTAAAATATAATTAATAAATATATTAACAATAATAATTCGAAAATTGAATGTGTATGAAATAAGTTCATAATTATTACAGTAATACAGATGACATTTTAAAAGCTATTCAATTTTCAATGTTCTCGCTTTTAGGAAACGTGGTTTGCAATAATACCGCGTTGCCAAACAATAATACAACGTTTATCACCAACGACACCTGCGTTAATTGGAATCACTACTATACGGAATGCAAGGGTCAGGGTAACAATCCTTTCCAAGGAACGATATCATTCGATAATATCGGTCTTGCCTGGGTCGCAATATTTCTTGTGAGTGTCCTACTTCTCTTATATTCAGAAATTGAAACTTTACTGTAGTCAAATTTTTAAATACATATCTAATTCTGAAAAAATTTTACAGAAATTAATATGTAGTTATATCAATTTCAAAAGACAACAACACGCAACTGCAAAATAAATTTATTTATTAATATTTTAGTTATATATTACATTACTAATATTTTATTAATATTTTATTAACAAAAATTCTTTGTAATTAATGCAATTTAAAAGTAACTGATATGTAAGAATCCCTTTCTGTTTTATGTGATTGAATATTTTATTTCTCATTTACTTATCAGTTTGATATGATTTTTTTTTTTAAATTTTCTTTTGCAGTTGTATTATAATTCTTTTGTATATATACGTACACACACACACACATACACATGCGCGCACGCGCGCGCGTATAGCACATTAATATATTATTATACAGTATATTTACAGTATATTTAATTATATATGTATATAATTACATATAATATATAGGATATCTCAAAAATGTGGAACTTTTGTAAATTGATTCTTGAAATAATTTCAAGCAATATTTTTTTTTGCAAAAACTTTCGTTATAACATTCTTAATGAATTATTAATAAAAAATATTGGTCATGTTGAATAAAATTGAATAAATATTTTTTTATCTATAAAATATAATATTTATAATAAAAAATTATATGAATATTAATGAATTATATTACGAACAATAAATAAATAAATATAATATTCAATATATTTTTTTCGAAATATGTTGTTTAGATTTGTTTGTATTCGGTTTTCGATATGTAACCAATGCGGCTCGATTAGGCTACGCAATTCCTAATATTGACTAATATTTTTTGTTAACAACTCATTTTTGCAAAGGAAAATGTTGCTTGCAATTATCTTAGAAATTTCCAGTTAACGGATATTACATTTTTGAGATATTCTATATAATACACATATATAAAATATTCGGTTACAGATATTTAAAATATAAGGAGTGATTCGTTATAAAAAAACGTTTTAATTATTAATAATAAAATATCGACGAAAATATCCCTATATAAAAAAATTTGGAGTAATTCAATAAGAGATATAATAATCTTTAACTTTAACAATACATGGTAAACAGTATTTCATATTTTTCATGAAAAAGAAGATTATAATTTGAGGTTCAGTTTATTTTCCGTTGCTTGAACTGTTTTGAATTTATTCGTTTTAAAATAATTAATTTCATTGATTTTTAATCGTTAATAATTCGAATAATTTTTTTATTTTTGATTTTGGTATTATTTCAACTTAAAAAATCATTCCTTAAATTTTTAAATCGATCTATAACTAAACAAATAATATCTACACATATAATGATGTACATATAAAACATATATATGTACATATATGTTTTATATAAATATATTAGATTATAAATATATTAGATTATTAGTATATAATAGATATACACATTATATGATATATAAATATGCTTGAATGTACAAAATATCAAGAAAATAAGACCAAACTTTGATATATTTTTTTATTCATATAAAAAAAAAAGTCATATAAACATAGATATAAAAATTTTTTACTTAAAGAGATTGTCAAAATATATGTAATAAATGTTCAAAATATCTTAGTTTATTATGAATATTTTCATATATATTATTATAAGTTAAAATGTTCTTGTAAATAAAAATATTTGAATTAGAATATATAGAAATAAAAACACTGTTTAAAATTCTACACTTGACAACTAATAACTTCTCTAATGTGAGGAAAAAGTTTTTATATTTTATAAAACAATAGTCTTAAAAATAGAATTTATGTTTATATGACACTTTTTCATCTTTATAGTGGAATTTTTAAAATTAAGTCATTTATTTTTTTGATACATTGTATATGTAAGAATATTGATACATGCTGTTCATATATATATTATATTTTCATTTACATTAATAAATATGTATAGTAAATATAGAAAATCTTGTATGAGAAAATGCAGCATATGTTGATTCAGAGCATAGATATAGGTATAATAAAGAAAGTTCAAATAAATACTTGCTCGAAATGACCTTATTTTCGAGTTATAACTTATTTTCAAAAGTTATTTATTTATCTTTAGAGAAATTATAGAAAATGATTATATTCAAGTACAAATGTATGTGTCTCATATGAATTGTCTTATTAACTTATTTAAAGAATTTACATATTATATAGATTTACACAATAAGCATAATCATGATAAACATATCTTGTTTCATTGAATACACCCTGTATTCTAATTATTTTTTCATTTACAATACAATACTTTTTATACGATAATATAATTAATATAATATTATTGAATTCATACATAATAAATAATAAATTAAAAATTTTCTTTTCATAATTTTATTTCAAATAAAATAATAGCAGAAGTTGAAGTTGATAATTGATGAAATTTATTTGTAAAATTTCATTTTTTTAATTGTCAAATTATCATGTAACTTGATTGAATGTGATTTATAAAATTTTATTAATAATAATTTTAAATTCTATTATTCAAAAAAGCGCTGATGATCTTTATTAGAAATTCCTTTCATCTCAAGGAATATTTCTTTGTAAAATGAAATGTTTTAAAAAGCAAATTAAATTTAACTATATTCAATATCTATTTATTTATACACAAGATGTGTATAACATGTATTGTTATAAAATAAATTAAAATTCGAAAATAAGATTTCGTATTTATTCGTATTTATATAAATTTCTTTTATTTATTACTTTTGTATCTTTACAATGATCTCCGGTATAAAATGATCCGGTATATTAATACAATTGAATAGATATTCTTATATTTTTCAAATATGTAATTATTTTAATAAATATAGAAAAATAAATTATTTCAACTACTTATTTCAATAACTTATCTACATCAATCTTATTTATTTTAGCTTTTTTTTTATTAAATATTTGGAAAAGAAGTGATAAAATTAATAATGTTATTATAGGTAATCAGTCTTGAGGGATGGACGGATATAATGTATTACGTGCAGGATGCTCATTCTTTTTGGGATTGGATATATTTTGTCCTTTTAATTGTGGTACGTTGACTATTTCATTTGTTTTAAATTTTATTTTATTAAATTATAATTAAACAAAAAAAGAAAAAAGACCAAAGTGAAGATTTAATAAAAGGATTTCATGAATAAACAAGGATAAATAAATAATAAAAATAAATACGAGAAGTAATGATTATATTAATTATCGTTTGAAAATAAATTTTTCAATGAATTTAGATATTATCAATATTATTACGAGAAGAAATACATTTTTTTTTTTATAAAGAGAAAAAGAAATCGTTGAAATTGAAAAAAATTTCGGTTACAGATTGGTTCCTTCTTCATGATTAATCTCTGCTTAGTCGTAATAGCAACGCAATTCTCAGAAACGAAAAAGAGGGAAATGGAGAGAATGCGACTGGAACGTGCTCGTTTTCATTCTACATCAACCCTTGCATCGTCGACAAATACTTCAGAGCCAACTACATGTTACGCAGAAATTGTTAAGTGAGTACTTAAGGGACTTTTCTCGAAAATATATTAAATTTCTTTTTATTTACTACAATTTAAAAAAAAGAAAATTTAGAATAAAGATTTTTAGATACGATTCAATACAATGTGGATAGGGACAACAACAACAACAACAACAACAACAACAACAACAACAACAACAACAACAACAACAACAACAACAACAAACAACAACATCATCATCATCATCATCATCATCAATAAGAACAATAACAACATCATTAACAATAACAATAACAATAACAATAACAATAACAATAACAATAACAATAACAATAACAATGACAATGACAATGACAATGACAATGACAATGACAATGACAATGACAATGACAATGACAATGACAATGACAATGACAACGACAATGACAACGACAACGACAACGACAACGACAACGACAACGACAACGACAACGACAACGACAACGACAACGACAATAACAACAACAACAACAACAACAACAACAACAACAACAACAACTACAACAACAACAACAACTACAACAACAACAACAATAATAATAATATGAATTCTAAATTTAATATTTAATTAATTAATATTTTATTAATTCTCAAAATTGATTTCAAAAATTTTAATATTACAGTTTATTAATATTTATATAACAATATAAGTAATATAATATAATATAATATATTTTGCTATAATTATATATTATAATATGAAATAGTAAAATTTTTTTAATATTAATATTCTATTTTTATTATATCTAAATCTTTCATGCTTTAAATTTCCTTCATTTCATTCATTATTTTTATTTTTTCTTATTTTTATTTTTATTTATTATCTGAATATTATCTGAAAATATTAAAATACATTTCTTGCTGATCTTCTATTAAATTTCCTTGAATCATTGGTGAAAATTTTGTATTTTACAATATATAATATATTAACATAAAAATATCATTTCATTTTGAAAATAATTTGTTATTATTTTAGACAAAAAAATTATTTTTATTTAAAATTTTATTTAAAATTTTTATTAAAAATTTGTAATTAATTATATTATTTAATAAAAATAATTTACTTTGGATTAAAATGGACCAATTGATTAATTGGGATGAAGAAAAAGTATATACAATCATTTTATGTATTAAAAGATATAATTAAAATAGAAACATAACAAATTAAAAGTAATTTTGTTTTTTTTTCGAATTATTAAATATTTAATCAATAATTATATAAATTTATTTAAAAAAAATAATCAAAGTTTAATTGAATGTTATCTAATGTTATCTTTTTAAAGTATTTTATAATATTTAGAAAAAAAATAATAATTAGAAAGAATACAGAAAATATATAAAATATTTAACTTACGATTAAAAAAAATCAATTTAAAGATTATTATGATAAATAAAAAAATGAAATCGACACATAAAGTATTTATTCATAAATAAATAATTTCAAACATGAAAATTTAATAATTATTAAAATTTGAATTTTTATTTTATGCTTACTAATTGATGAATTCTTATTTAAATTAATATTTTATCAATATAATATAGTTTTGTTTTTAATTTTCTTTTAATTGAATTTTGAGTAATTTTATATATTGCTATTGGATTTAATGAAAAATAATTACCAATATTTGAGGATATTAATACGTATATTAATACGTATATTCGATTAATCTGATAAAAAAATATTGAATTTTATTTTTAAATATTAACCTCATATGTACATATATTTTTATCAGATGTTTTAACGTTTTCATTTAAAACTTTAGTTTATTTTAGTAAAATATAGACATACTGTTAACCAAATATGAAACGAGAAAATAATAATTAAAGAGACAACTAAAGTTGGTTGCTTTCTCGTAAATCGTGAAGTTTTAACAAGATATTGATTTTCTTCGTTTAGTTTTATATTTTCCAAGCAATGTATAGAATACAAAACAAATTCATTTTTTTTTTATTTTTGATTTTTATCAATATTATAGTTTCAATTATAAAAAAACCTTGTATGGCAAATATTTTATTCTGATAAATATAACAGTATTAATATTAATTTTCTGATAATATAACAGTATTTAAAATGTACATTACACAAAAGATATAGAGATTTATTAATCTAAATATAAAATAAAAAAATTAAAAAATTTTTTCTTTATATTTTTTAAATTTATATCTCACTTAATCTTTTTCTTCTATTAATCTTATTGTGTTACTAATTATTATTTTATTATATTGCTTTTATTTTTTAATTGTTTCTAAGTATAATTTTTCAAAATATAAATAAAAATAAAAACTAAAAAAATTTTCAATAAAAAGATTTGAAAAAGATTACATCTGAATACAAATTGAAAAACTAATTCTAACTTTTCAAAAATATTTGAACATGAATGTGGAAAATAGATATTTTTCAACATATTGATCAATATGTATCAATTTTTATATTATGGCATATTTAAATTTATTTATTATGAATAATAATATATTTTATTTTATTAAAATATTTAAAATTATATATAATATTTATTAAATTGAAAATAATAATATTGAAAATAAATTGAAAATAATTGATATATTATTATCCTTATATATATATGATATAAATGCGAATATTTTGCAAATTTTATGAATTAAAATTTTATGAATTATAATTACAATACAATATATATTGTTCTGAAAATATTATTAAATTTGAATAATTATTTATTGATATTGGAGACAAATATTCTAAAAGATTTAATTTAAAATTGGTACAATTAATAATTAATAAAACATATTAAAATAAAATAAATAAATAAAAATATATTTATTAAAAATTCTTATTAGATAAAAATTTATTTTTTTTTAATATTAAATTATTTTGTTATCTCCTTATATTTATATATTCTTTCATTTTTAATTCTTATATTCATATTTGTACAATTATTATAAAAGTAAAAAAGTAAAACTAATTTTATTTATTATATAATATTGAAAATTTTTCTATACGATTATTAAAAAGATAAAATTTTTACTTTATTATTATATACCGAATTCAAAGAATATAATTAATATACTCTAACATGAAATAGAAGATTTTTAAATATATGTTTTTTTCGCTTAAATCCCAATGTAATGTTTATTAATGTTAATATTTATAACTATATTAGTAACAATTTTTATATTCTTTTTACAATTAATGTAAAAATAAAATTCCTTTTATTTAAAAAGATCACTTTTTATTTTGTATAAAGTATAAAAAAAAAATATTGTTTGTTACATATGAAAAAAATGATATTTAAATTTGAAATGAAATATTTTCTTTCTTCTCTTACAAGAAAGTCTTATTATTAATTATTTATTTATATATAAATACTAAGAATATTAAGAATCGTTATTTTTATTCTAAATTCTTCTTTTTCTTAATTTTCTTAATTCTTCTTAGTTATTCTTTGTTATTTTTAAATAAATATAATATATAAAAAAAATTGGTTTGGAGAAACTATTCAAAGATATAGAAAATATATTGCTGTATTTGAAAAAATAAAAAGAATATACATGATATTTTTATTTCCCTGGTTGCTGTAACATAGACGTACACAGAAAAAGCAATAAAAAATTTTAAAATATCAACTGAAATTTGTCTCGCTTTTTCTAATAGTTTTTAAGTCATGTCTATGTTGCTCATTCTTTGCATGTATAATTTCACATTAAAGTAGAACATAGTATTAGTTTTCAACTTATTAACATTACATTTTTCAGAAGAAAGTCATCATTTATATTATAAATTATTACCATAATTGATATTAAACTTGATATTAATTTCATTGTTAGTTATTATAAAAGAGTTATTATATAAATATTATAATATAATATTAATATATATATAATAATTTATATAATATTAATAATAATAATATAATATAATAAAAATAATGTAATAATATTACTGTTTCTTTCTCTTTCTTTCTCTCTCTTTTTTTTATGTTTTTATTATATTTTTATTTCATTATTCTTTTAAATAAAAATAATGCAATTAATATATTATTTTTTTATGTTCTATAAAATTGTTTTATATAAAAATGTTCTATAAAAAGCAACTCTATAAATTTTTTTTTAAATATTTAAAAATTTTTTAATCCTATCAAAAATATATATTCTATTTATAAAAATAAATAATATTCTATTGATTTTTTAATTGTTCTAGTTTAAATAATTTCATTCTTTCACTATTCCTTTTTTTATATTATGTTATTTTTCTATTTTATATTGAAGAGAACTATTACATTCCATTCCATTAAATTCTTATGAAAGAAATGATTGATGAAAATCTCTGACAATGCCATTAAAGAATATATTAAATAATATTAAATGCTGTTTCATTGGTCTTCCACTTAAAGAATAAAAGGTTCTCATTTGAAATAGTTCATTAATTGTTGTATTGTCTTAATTCTTACTATTTTAATTTTCTTTCAAATAAAAATTCAAGTATAAAAATAAAAATATTACATACAACGATTTTATTTCATTTATTCAGAAGAAATGATTAAAAATTTTTAAAGCATGTACAAATTAATTAAATAAAATTAAATAATCTACTTTAAGAATGAAAGATTTTAGGAATATAAATTAATTAATCCATTATTATATTTCATTTTTTATTTTTATTCTATTACATTTTATTGCATAAAAAAATTTAAAAAATCGTTAAATTTTTCTAAAACGAAGAAACGAAGATTTCTTTAAAAATTTATTATTAGACGATAAGCATTATTTTTGAATATACATATAAGAGAAATCAAAATAAGAATATAAAATATTTAATACAGAATATTTATATAAATATATTTTTTTTAATTGTATTAGATTTAGAACGAATGATTGAAATAATAATTTATTTCTATATTAATTAAAATATTATTTGAAATATAAAAAAAACTTTCTTATTTAAAATTCTTTACAAATAAAAATTCAATATTTTATGATCTTGGAGAAAATCATATTTTTCAAGATATTAACCATTGTTGCATCTGCATTGTCTAATTTGTTATATTGCAATTTTTTAATAAAGTACTTTATATTAGCATTTTTTATTTATTTATTATAATTATTTTTGCATATATAGAATATTCTAATAATTTTTTACAGAAAAAGATAGGGATATATATATATTTTTTATATATTATTTTTATATTTATATATATAAATATATATAATATTTATATATTTTTTTATATATTTTTAAATATATACTTAAAATAATGTAAAAAATAATATTTTTTTCATTATATATATTATTATATATATTATATATATACAATGAAGTATTATTTTTATGAAATTCTATTAAGTAGTTAATATTGAATTTTCATGAAGACATTTGTATTTTTTGAATAAATATGTTTTTGTTTTCATATTACTTTTTTATTTATTTTTTTGTTAAATAATAATCGCTAAAAATAATATTAACAATAATTAATATAAATTTATACATAAAATGCTATATTAAATAATTATCTTTAATATATCTAAATAATTATTTCTAAACAAATTATTTCAATTAATTATTTAACAATTTTTTTCTCAAAGTCGAAATAAATCTTCAAATATATAAATATGAAATATTATTTCATTTCAACGAAACTGTTTTAATAATTATTTTCGATACTTTTTGCTCGAAGTACTACATCAAGCACTACACCAAAGTACATAATAAATGAATTTAAACGCTGCTTCATTGGTCCTCTTCACTTCAAGAACGAAGAGTCATCTACTTGAAATTGTCTTTTGCCTGTTCCATTCATGCTGCTACATTCTGCATGTTCTCAGATATATCGCACACCTGTGGCGAAGGGGGAAGAGGAGATTAATGAAGAGGTACCGAGTATATTTATACAAAAGACAACAGAAACGTGAGCAGAATTTACTCAAGCAACAACATGGACACCCATTTCGAGGAGGTGCACCCGGCTTTGATCCGAATAGATTACCCGGAGGTAAGTGTATCGTATCAATCTAAGTGGGATTCTACAGCGTTCGATTTTCATCCATATGTTTTATTTAATTCAGTTCATTTCAATAGCAACATTTTTCTACCAATTGTTTCTATTTGTACTCCATTTTAAAAATAAATATAGCAGATCTTTGAAAGAATTGATTCTTTGATTCTTTGAAAGAAAAGTAAATATAATTAATTTTTAAATGATTATACACATTTATTTTAAATATAATTATGTTATTAAATTGTATTTATTATATTTCGTTAAAGTTTGTATCGTTTCTTTTTTTTTCCTTCAAATTGTTCTCATTTATATTAATTCATAATCATTTATATTAATTCATTAATTAATTAAGAAATAATTCAATAAATAATTTCAATAAATATAATTAAATTTTGCTAAAATGAATTTTTTACATTTTGGAATGCTTAAATTTAAATTAAATTTTCATTTAAATTTTAAGTTATGAAGAAAAGAAAAGAAGAGAGATAGATAAATAGATAGATAGATAGATAGATAGAGAGAGAGAGAGAGAGAGAGAGAGAGAGAGAGAGAGAGAGAGAGAGAGAAAGAGAGAATGAGGAAAATTATACATTTTTATTTATTAATTACTATATATATTTGATTTCAAGGATATCAAAGATTTTATTTATTCAACAATAATCTATATTTAAAATTAATTGAAATCAAAAATTTTTTAAACGATTCGAATTAATTCTTTAATTTTAAATTTTAAAATGTTATTGATACTCTAATGCATATTATAAAAATAAAAAATTTCAATTTTTACTTTCTCATTTTCGATTTTTATAAATATTATGAATAAAAAACTTAGAAGAAAAATAAACTGTATAATAAATAAAGCAATTAATTAATTAATTATTAAATAAAATTAATTAATTAAAGGGAAAATGATTAAAAAAACAATTTGAAAATAATCATTACAATAAAAAAATATTTTGAATTAAATAATATAATTTACTATAAATATTCTTATTAAATTAAACGATTATAATTATTATGCTTATATATTATAATGATAGCATAATTAACGATCTATAAATGTATGATTTTTTTCACCAATTTAAATTTCTTTTTTTTTTCTTAGTAAGTTTTACTATCACATTGATAGGCACATTCGTTTCTAATAATAAGAAAAATTGAGAGATTTTAGAAAGAGAAAGTTTTTGAAATTTCTTTAGTGACAGTAGTATTATTATTTAAAGTTATTATTTATTTATAATATATAATAATATCAAGATAAATATTTTAGACATTTTTCTAAAAGATTGTATTTTTTTCATTAAAATGAAAACTATTTTGTAATTGTTGATGAAAGTATTCTAATTAAATTTCTAAGATTGATTAAAAGAATAGTATCTTATACTGAAATTTACTAAAATTCAATTTTAATAAAAGTTTTTGTATATGTAAAACATAATGAAATATATATATTTTTCAATAAAAATTCTCTTTGAAATAATGAAATCATCTTCAAATTTTTATATGAATTTTGTTTCAATATTTTTGAATACAATTTTATTTAAAAATATTCTTTAAAACAGTAATAGATCACTAAAATTTAAACATTCTATATATTTAAAATTTTAATTCTATTATATGTTACAGTTATATTTGTTAGAACAAAAAGAAACAATAAAAATAGATTAGGGAAGATTGGAGCTAAAAATTCCGGGGATAAGGTAAGATTGTTATATTTTTAAAATAAAAACAATTGATGTCATTTGTTATCGATATGCCAATAATATTAATTTTTTAAAATTTATTATACTTTTGAATCAGGTGACGTTTAAAAACATATTGCAATAAAAAATATAATAAATCAACATAATAAACAGAATATTTTTACAAATTATGTGTCGATAGAAGCTACTTGCTATCATGACGAGAATATGATGTTATCGTAAGAATTTGCCTCCATTGCAAATGCACAAATCTTTTCTGTCATTTTAACAATCCACGAATTTTAAATTTTGTCTTCTCATTTCATTTTATTTTTTACATTTTTATATTTACATTTTTATATCTTTATATTTTTTATTTTATTTTATTAATGATGAGTAATTATTAGATTATTATTAGATTATATCATCTTATAAATTATTTTTACTAAATTATTAAAAAATTATTAAATTATTTGTAATAAAATGTAAAATAATCAATAGATTATTGTTTATATATTTATAATATTCATAGATATTCATAATAATTGTACTTGTTTTGATTTTTTTTAAAAATAATATGTTTTTGTTAATTTAAAGCTTAAAAGATAAATATTAATAATAAAATTGTGTTTTATTTTATTAGAAAATAAAATATTTTATCAAAAACTTATTTCTTTAATAATAACTTACTCCAAAGAATTAATTACTTTATTAGTTTCAGGATTAGGTTAGTTGTTCTATTTCGATCAGCCATAACTAAATAATATGATATAAAAAACTTATTACAATATATTAAATATAAAATCTGAAAATATAATAAATTTAAGATTAAATTATTCAACAATAAAAAGAGCAATTGTATTATTATTTTTCCAAAATCAAAACTTTTAGTTTTGATATTTTTGTTTATATTATCTTTTTTTTCAATTTAGTTAAAAAGAATCAATTTTGTTAAAATTCATAATATAATATAATCTTATCTAATATTCCTATCTTAAAATAATTATTTAGAATTTAATTTAATTTTAATATATTAGAATTTCATTTACAATATTCAAATGTTTTTGCGAATCATTTTAAATCATAAAATCAATCATCGATTCCATTTTTATAATTTTTTAATTTGTAAATTAATACTTTTATTTCTACATGAAATAATCGATGTCTCGATAAATTGGAATATCAAGGAACGATTTCCAAATAAAAATGCTTATAAGAAACATTCAAACTGTCTGCGATTCATTTCAAACTTCAGAGCATTTTTATAGAGATGAACACACACGTTCAAGGATTCTTAAAATCTCTGCCATTTTTTTTCACGATCACTTTAGAATATTACTTAAACTGACGCTATTATTTTAGGAATAATAGGAGATTTCTGATGATAGAACATGCTTAAAATAATGTGATTGACTGTAAGATCAAGGAACAATATTTATTTTGTTAAATGTGAAGAAATTATAGATTTTAGATTATATGTTAATTCAAAAATTAGATATCTTAAAAATATAATTAATTTATGTATTAATTATTTATTCATTTTTATTAAACTTTTTTGTTTTTATTTTATATTTTTTAATTAAAATATTATATATTTAAATATTATATATTTAAAATATTATTTTATATTATTTCAGATTTTGTATTTATTATTTATTTATAAGCTAAGTTTTTAAATACAAATTTAGAATTATAATTTTTTATATTCTTTTGATTTTTAGACTTTATTAGAAATTATATGAATTGTTTGATGAAAAAGGAAAAGAAAAATAAATGTAGACATATAAGAACTAATATGTAAGAGAAAATTTTATTTTATACATTATTCAACATTTATTTTTAGAAAAAAGAAATAAAAAATAAAAATAATATTAAGTAATAAAATAAAGAATAAATATGATCGATTAGAAATAAGAAAATAAGAATTTGTATAAATTAATTTACATAAATATTAATTTACATCGTTACAATATTTAAAAGATAATAGAAAATTATGTAAGAATACATTGAAATGGACAAGAACCAATTATCAAGTTATATATATATATATATATATATATATATATATAAAACAACTTATTAAAATTATATATTATTAAAATTATTTCGGAATTAATATTTTATCATAAAAACTTAATGAAAGAGAAATATAGATTTGTGTTTATGATTCTTATTCATAATTTTATTATCAATAAAATATTAATAATTCTTTTCATTTAATAAAATTCTACATTAATTATTAATTACCAATGAACATACTATCTTATAATCGCACATTTATGCAAATATGAGTTACATTTAATAATCTATAATTAAATACACTAATATTAGTAATGAATAACAAAATAAAATAATTATTATCAATATATAATTATAAATATAATGTATAGTTACTATTGCTACATTATTATATCATCGTTAGTAAAAAATGGTAAATATATGAAAATTAATTCGATAATTAAAAAATGAATATCTTTTTAATATCTTTATATATATATATATATATATCATATAATATGTATATATAATTTAATAATATATATAATATATTATATATATATTATAATATATATAATATTAATATATATATAATATTATTATAATATATATNAATTAATTTTCATATATTTACCATTTTTTACTAATGATGATATAATAATGTAGCAATAGTAACTATACATTATATTTTACATTATATTATACATTATAATTATATATTGATAGTAATTATTTTATTTTGTTATTCATTACTAATATTAGTGTATTTAATTATAGATTATTAAATGTAACTCAGTTTGCATGAATGTGCGATTATAAGATAGTACGTTCATTGGTAATTAATGATTAATGTAGAATTTTATTAAATGAATAAGTATTATTATATAATAATTATTATATATATTTTATTGATAATAAAATTATGAATAAGAATCATAAACACAAATCTATATTTCTTTTTCATTAAGTATTTTTATGATAAAATTTTAATTCCGAAATAATTTTAATAATATATAATTTTAATAAGTTGTTATATAAAATATATATTTTATATAACAATTTATTGTTGAAACTTTACTCTCCACTATGTTCTTCTATGTTCTGAGTTTATAACAAAAAACAAATTTAAACAAATTTTGTAAATTAATGTCATTTATATACTGAAATTCAAATGAAAAATTTACATAAAAATTTCATTGAAATCGATCGATAACAAGCATTGAATAATTTATAAAATTTATTATTTAATATTTAAAAGATAATCTCTATCAGTAAAGATTGTGAAGATCTATGAAATAACTTAATAAAATATTCGTAAATATTTCGATTATTTATCGATTTCCACAATTAATATTTCCAAAGAACTGTTTTTCTCCGTGAAATACGATATATTTGATTCCTGATTTTCAATTGAACATAATTGATATTGTTGAATTTCATACGACCCATTTCAATATCGTTATCTTTCATTATTATTCCAACCAGATAGAAGACTCCATCACGGTAGATGTCCCAAACTGTTGGCGGCTTTGGAATATGCGGAACAGCAGCAACAACAGCAGCAAGGCATTGGCAGTGGTGGGGAATCGCTTACTGATTTCCCAGCGAACAGTCCTCCGACACAGACTGCAATCCTTGCAACCACGATTGGAAATAATGGCGGTAGCAATGGGAATTTGGCAATTGCGCCTCGTGCCAGTCCCGAAGTATCCGAGGCAGATGTCTCTTCGAATGTGTGCAATCGTATGGGGCTTCATCGAACTTCATCCGTTTCTTGCAATGGAAGCGATAATATTCTTTCGAATGCGACCGAAGCAAGCATTCAGGTATATATTGTGCATATATGGATTTTACTTTAAATAAAAATAAAAGATAAGAATAAAATTTTGAAAAGTCTGGATGGACAATCGATACGAAATTTGAAATGGTAATAAGGAGGAGTTAAGTTAAAAATTTATCAAAACTTATTATCTCTTGATTCGTTATTTAATGTCTTGAATTAAATTCCTTATTATTATATGAATTTTAAATATTTTAAAAAAATATAAATTTTCGTAAATTATAATTATAAGATATTAAAAATTTATCGAAATTATTCTTCGTTAAATTTAATTCTCTCTTAAAATAATTGAAAATACTCCGCCCTCAGACGAACAACGCGCTGTTAAGTCCGCCTTGCACACATTATCGCAGAAGAAGCAGCGTGATGTTCAGCGATGTAGTGTTGCTGCATGGCAGCAACAGTGTCGGTAACGCATTGCAGGCTGGCACGGCAGTTTCGCCCGGCGAAAGGAATGTGTGTTCGAGCGAAAAAATGACGCAGACCGGTGACGGGAATATTTGGTCAAGTCCACTACCAGACCATATACAGGTATTTTCTACTGCGGTTCTACAAAGATGTCAGGTCCTACTGATCGCTTCCACTGACGCGTAATTTGTCATGTATATGTATCACCATAGATGCAAGCTGAATTGGGTGGAAATGAAGCTATGACTTGTCAAGAATTACTTGCATTAAGCGGTGCTTTAAGCGCTGCATTACCGACCGGACAATTGGCATTAGATTCTTTTCTTAATTCGCTTACTAAAGGTAAGTTCTTTTTCTTTTTTATTTTTTTTTTTAATTCTTTTTCTTTAAAAAACTTAAAAGAACGAGTATAGTTTATATTTTTTACTAGTTTTAATTTAAGAGACTTGGAAGGAAAATGGCACAAGTGAAGATATTTTTAATTGAATGAAATTATGAGTGAAATGAAATTTTATCAGAAATATATTTATAAATATGCTTCCAAATATTAATATATATTAAATATATTTTATACAATATTTATATTATATATTGTATTCTCAGATGTTATTTGTAAATTTTGTTATTAATATTATAATAAATATATTATTATTAATATTATTATTTTTAATATTGTTAATATTGGTAAATTGTTTTCGATAATTATTCCGTTATTGAAAAAAATGATTTACATTAGATTTTCATAAAGCATGACTTAAAAAAAATATTTATATATGAAATATTTTATATATTTTGATTTATATAATCGTAAAAATTTATATTTGAAATTAATACATAAATATATAGAAATTATATATGCATATAATGCATAAAATATGCATAAAATATGCATAAATTGGATTTAAATTGGAAATTAATATATAAATATTCTTAAAAAAATTTAACAATTAAAATAAAAGATTAACTGAAAAAATTAAAATAACAATGTTAATATATTTATATTTTGACTATTAAGACAACTTAATTTCATATTTCAACTCAAAAAATGCAAAAAATATATAAAACAATAATATTGAAAATTAAAAATGAAAACAAGATGAAAATTATATATAAAAGTATACAAGAAGTAATGTAGTACTTAAAAGTATTATACAGTTATATAATATCTATTTTTCTTTTTATATAATAAATTTCGTCCAACTTTTATTATTTCGCCAAACTTTTATATTTTCATAATTTCAATTTTATTGAATAATGAAGGTATTTATTGCTTTATTGTTCTTCGTATTTTACTCCTTTTTTATATAAATTGTATTATAAGATTTATTAGAAGTAATTGATATTTATATATATTTATATATATATATATTTCATGTTCCATTTTTCTTCTGTATTTTAATTTAAGAACTTAAAAAAATGAAAGAATTAGATTTCTTAATGGCTCGTATTTAATAATAGAAATAAATTATTCTCAGTAAATTGAATTTATTATTTTAATTTTTTCGAACATAATTTTATTTTTATTTATGTATACATATTTGTAATAGATTAAATATAAATAGATTAAATAATTTGAAAATATATTAATTAAAGAAATTTAAGATTCAATACTGAATTACTATAAAAAATTATATTATTAACATATAAATTTATTAACATATAAAATAACTTAAATTAATACATATAAATTAATTTTGTTTTTCATAAGGTTTATGCGTATATTATATAAATACGATAATTTATTTGATATGAATTGATGTTTATATTTTTAAATATTTTGTTTTGTTTGATATAATATATTTTCCTTTTATTATTTTAATTATAATGTTATTGTAACATTATAATTAGAATTATAACAATAATAATTATGATAATCAATATCACAAACAATTCACCCATATTGTTTGTTATAGATGAATTAAATTAATACTCATTATACGTTCTACAAGACAATAGAAAATAATGTTTTCGATTTAAATTAATTATTTTTCATTTCTCTTAATATCTTGTATTATAATTCCTTGAAATTATTAATTATCTCTATAAATGTTGAATTTTTTTATTGATATTTTTTCGTAAAATATTGCAATTTTTATTGATATTTTATTCTTTATTTCTTTTTTATTATATATTTATATTTATACAAATTTGCATCATATTTTCGTTTATTATTAGTTGAACAAGAAAGATTTATTGTTCCTTTTATGATATCAAAAGAAAAATATATTATAAAAAAAATATCAGATCTATTTACAGAATCCATAGAATTTTTTATATATTATATATAATATATAATTTTCAATTGTGAATGATTATACAGACTTAATTATATAAAATGTTTTCAAAATTATAATATATACAAGTGATTAAAAAATAATTAATTTATATGTAAAAATAATTTTATTTTTTAAAGCTTTATAATATTATATATAATTCATTTTTACAATATTGAAAATATTTAATATATTTTCAGAACATCTAAAAAAATTAATAAATTAAATATATTTTTTTATTATTTTGTATCTAATTAAAATTTATTGTATCGAAATCAACATTGCTCAAATTCATATTACTTTTTACTTAATATAAAATATAAACCAGAAAAACAAAATTATTATGAATGATAGATTAATATAAATCTGAAGAAGACAGAAATCAGATAAATAGAAATATTATAAATGCAGTTACATATAATATATATATATATATATATATATGTATAAAAGGAAATTTATTTTAGGAATAACGGATCGACATATTACCTTAGAGGATCATACGCAATGGTTAGCTTCGGACATTGATAATTGCTCCTGTTGCTGTGAACTTCAGGGCATTGATCAATGGCCAGACGAAAGTGACAAATGGACGAAAAGTTCCCGTGCGAAAAGATTCCTAAGAAGTTGTGGAAACAGTTGTATTTGTGCTATAAGATGCATAAGACGATTAATCAAGAAGCTGGTCGAGCACAAATATTTTCAACAGGGTATCTTATTGGCGATTTTGATCAATACTTTGAGCATGGGAATAGAGTATCATAACCAGGTCAGTGTTTTACCTTATACAATAATTATGTAATATGTCCACTGTCCGGATTAGAATTGCACAGTTAGTGAAAGCGATGATTATTAAAACATTAAATTGGTCAATGGAAATTAAAATTGAAAAAATGAAAATTATTAATTAATAATAAAATACAGAGTTAATGGTATTAATATTTGGAAGATTGATAGTCAAAATAAAAATTGATTACAAAAATATGGATCAAAGTTTATTTAAACAATTAAAGTTTATTTAGATAAAGCGAGACAAAGCTCTACCTTTGTTATGTCGCCATTGCATTTTGTTTATTTTATTTCATCCAATGCAAGTTTAAATAACTTAATAAATAAGTTTCGATCAACAGTTTTGTATTAATTTTTGTTTTACCGTTTGAAATTGATTTTTCAAAGATGTTTTTTAAATATATATATAGTACAGTAGAATATCAAAATCATTTCTAAAGATTTTAAATTTTTTCATAAAAATTGTATATTTTTTTTATATTTATAAAATCGTGTAAAAAAATATTTAAAAAAATTATATTTTATGAAGTATTTTGAAATTAAATTTTATTCTGTAAAATCAGAATTATGTTCACAAAGTAAAAATAATTAATTCTGTAAATATATTTTTACTTAAATATATTTTTAATAATTTCTTTCTATATACATATACAATAAATAATTATGTTATATATATATTTCTATAGATAAAATTTTTATTATTTGAAATCTATTTATTAATAGTTTTTATTAATGAAGATAATATTCAAATAATTTATATTACTTTTAAATAATATAATAATTTTTATTATTTATCTATTATAATATATCTATAATAATGTTAGTTAGAAAGATAGAAATAATTTTGAATTAATACTATATAATTTTGAAAAAATTTTGATAAAAATATGAAATTCGAATTCTTTAATTTCCATTATTATTATATTAAATTTTTTGGATTTCTAAAATAACTTTAATAATATATACTATGTCGTTTTCACTGTATTTTTCAATTTATATGTTTTTCTTTTATACAATTAAAAGATTTTTTTTTATATTTTTTGTCGTTTTTATTTTTTTATTTTAAGATAATAATAAATGTTTTAATTATAATAATATGAAAGATGCGATTTATAATAATTTATAAATATTTTAATTATCGGCTTTTGTGTGTGCGTGTATCTATTTCTTATTTTTTAAATATTTCAATATATATTTACATTGCATCAATTACATTTACTTAATGATTTTTATTAGATATCATTGACTTGTTAAAAGAATGTTATGAATATATAAAAAATTATCAATTTTTAGATATTTGCTAAAATTAAAATTGAAAATTAATTGCTGAAAATTAACTTAGATTATGCAATGAATGAAATTATATTATTTTTTATTCAATAAGAATAATGTTACAATTCAAAATGTTCAATTTTAATTTATAGTATGATATACACAAGTAATACTTTATTAAAAATTTTTAAAGTCTAAAAATTATTATAAGTTAACTTAATATTAAGAAAAAATTAATTTTTTATTTATAAAATAGTAAAATAATTTTTCTATCATTTTATTTAAATTATTTTATCAAAATTACGTAATATTTTAATTCAAAATGACATAATCTCAAATAGCATTGATTATTTAATAATTTTTATAATTTTTAGAATAATTTATTATAATTAAAATCTCTTTTCAAAATTTTACTTGATTTTTCTTTACATATTCAATATATTTGAAAATCCAATTCCAATACTTAGAAACTATATCTAGAGAATGAAATTAATTCGTCAATTAAGTTGTTTCTTAATTGGAAACGGAGATAAAGTATAACTTTGATTATAAAGTTAAGAATTAATGGAACTAAATTAGCTTTAATTAAGTCGATTTTAGTTATTTATATTTCGTTATCGTATATATGATATAAAATATTTTTTAATAATGCAATACAATGATTTAAGCAGAAATAATTTATCTTTGGATAAATGAACTATTATTATATTCGAATGTTATTAATATATTTGAAATGTAAAGTATTTAATAATTTGAATAATGAATTTATTTATCTTACGCGATTAATTTTTATGGTTGAATAATAATTTTTCTCTCTTAGAATGAATTTATTTATTTTTATATCAAAAGGAAAAATATACAACTTTTGATTATCTTGATTTAAATATAAATTAACGGACAGTGAACTTATAGAGAAATTATTTTTTTAATGAATTTTTGTTGTTATTGTTTGAAATAGATTAACCCCTTGTCTCTAAATATTTATAATAATTATTAATTTATAGAATTTTTATATATAATTTTAAATTATATGAAATTATATAAAGGAGAAAATATTTCACAGATTTTACGATTTCGATTGTAAATAGAACACTACGATTTTTTTTATTTGATATATTATTTGATATTTTATTATTTTTATATAGCTTATAATTTTATATAAAAACAAGAAAAAAATAAAAATATGTATTTAGAAAAAATTAAAAATATAATAATAAATTTTAAAATAATAAATTTAAAAAATATTATACAATATATACAGAAAAATAACATTAGCAAAATTGTTTCTGAAAATAATTATCTTAAAAAATATTTAATTTTGTTAAAAATTTTTGTTAAAAATTTAATATATGAAAAACAAAATGAAATATATATCCATAAAATAATTATATTCATAAAGTTTTTTATTCATAAAGTATTTTAATAATTTTTTATCAGATATCTTAATATTCTTTTTAGAAAAGAAATATTAATATATGAGAAAAATATATAATTTCATTTAAAATTTATTATTGATTTTAAAATCTTTGAAAAATTTTCACCTTTGGAAAATAATATATTTTTTTTTAAATTATTTCAAAACTTTTTCTTAGCTAGATAAGACATTTTATATAAATATATAAAAATAATAGAGTATAGAATAATAGAGTATAGAATATAGAAATAATAGAATAATATTTTTGATTTTCGAAATAAGTTGAAATGTGTAAGATTTTTAATTTGCTGAATACTTCAATTAGATATTTTATATAACATTTATTATAAACACAACAATATAACTAATACTTAAATACACTTCTTTTCTTTCATGTTTGATCCTTATATCCTTTTTCCTCGTTTTTTATCACGAAATATATTCCTTCTATTTCTTATTCACTCGATCAATCATTTATTCAAGCAAACTATGCAGACATTCTTAGAAAACACTCAATCACGTTGTTGATCTTGAAAGCAAGGTTCTTGTTTATATTCTAACACTTTCATTATTGCTCTTTAATGAAAAAATCATTGTTCACCTCGAGTTCAACCTCGAAATTTATCGCGTAATTAACATTAAGCGATAACATTAACAATTTTTATTAATCGAGAGGAAAGGAATTTAAAATAACAAAAAATAAATAAATATGTTGCAATGTCAGATCAAAGATAAGATTATCATTTCTTAATATATAAAAATATTTCTAATGAAAATAAATAAATTAGAATTTTGTCTAACAATAGCAAGGGAAAATTAATATTAATTAATTAATATTGTATAATAATAAATAAATAAATTAATATCTGTTATTGCATTAATATAATATAATAATATATATTAATAATATATATAATAATATAATATATATATTATAATATAATAACTTGATAATGATAATATTGAGACTATTTTGAATTTATTTTTCATGGCTTTCATTAAATTTACAGTGTACAATTTATAATATAAATATAAATATAATTATAATTATATATATATATATATATATATTATATATTATNATTATATATTATATTATAATTATATATAATTATATATTATATTATAATATAATTATAAATTTATAATGTAAATATATTCTTTTCTTATTTTTTTTATTAAAATTTTGTTGTAAATAAAATTCAATAATAAAAATGAAACATATATATATATGAAACAATAATAAAAACATAATTAAATAGAAAAAGGAGGACATAAAAAGTTAAAAGCAAAAACAAAAATTGATTTCATTCTTGAATAAAAATATCGTTCATTAAATCTTTTATATAATCTGTAATCTATCGAAATTTTTTTGCTTTTATTAAATTATATATTATATAAATTAATATTATACATTATACATTATATAAAATCTTTAATTCCGAATTAACCTGATTTTTATTATTCTTTATTTGAAATATAAAATTAATCAATTTACGGAATTTTATCAGTGATTTATTGTTAAAAGTTTAGCAATAAATTTTATCAATAGATAAAATATATTTACAAGTCTGTATAACAATCCTTTGAAATATCAGAAGAGAAGTGATATTACTGTCGAGATAAAGAAGTTGTAAATTGTGTTTAGGAACAATCAGCTGACTTGGTCTTTTCTGATCACCATATATTTTATTGTTACAGCACTTTTTAAATGAAACATAATTTAAAAAGAGAAGATATATAAAAAGTAATTGAATCTATTTAAAAAAAAGAAATAAAAAAAACTTACTAAAAAGTAATAATTAAGAATAATTAATAAAAATATTTATATAAAAATATATTTATATAAAATATTATGTAATATAATATAATATTAAAATATTATATAAATATATTATGAAGAAAATAAAAAGTTATTTTATCGTAAAGAAAAAATTATGTGTATTGTATTCAGTATTTGCAATTAAGAATTAATAATTATTATAAAATAATTATAAAATAAATAATTATTTAATTGTAATTAATAATAAAAATTTATATTTAAATATAATATTTATCGTATTAAAATTTATATAAATAAGTATTGTGTAAAAAATATGTAAGTATCATGGATTAAATAAATTATACAAATCTCAATTAAATTATTAATAATTCAAGTTTCTCTTTGATATGAAACTAATATTTGAAATTGTCTTCACAATCAATTCCAATTAATTATCGTCCAGTATTCATTTAATATAATAAAAATTCATATATATATCTAATGGAATTAATATTAATAATTACAAATTAATAACTAATTTCATCAATGAATTAAAATAAGTCTAAATAAACTAATAATAAATTTAAATATAAACATAGTCAATTATTATTTACCTTATTAGATTTCGAAAATTGCAAATTTTGAAAATTGCAAATAACAAAAATGAGAAAAAAAATTTTTAAATTCGAGAATTTTACAGAATATAAATTTCCAAGTATTAGCCCTATTAAAAACATAAGAATATTTAAAAAAATAATTAAAATAATGATAAATTCATTCATAAAATTAAAAACTTCTGTTTAATGTTTTTTAATATTAAATTTAATTTTTTCATCAGTATATGAATTTTAAGTTATAATAATATAATAAGTTATAATATTTAATAAGTTATAAGTTATAATATTAATAATAAGTTATAATATTTAATAAATTATAAGTAATAATCTTTTGATTTTTGATTTTATATAAAGAGAATATTATGGTTTTTGTTTGAAGCCACATCATCATGGAAGTCATTTTGTTAATGTTTTTGACACGTAACAATATACACTCAAAACTAGCGTAGCTATTCTACTTTTGTTTATTTTTATTAATCTTTGGCACACAGTTCACTTCGGACTATCGAAATTCTGTCATTTGCATGTATACACATTTACATAAAATTTCTGTCTCTATACACATATATTATATCTATTTATCAGATAAATAATCAGTGACAAATTATAGTTTTAATACGGACGATCTTTAAATATAATTGATTTTAAACGAAAAATTAGTATGCAAAACTAACAATTGATGGTTATTATTGAGTTATAAACAATAGTAAATTAATATAATTAATTTAAAAACAATTAGGTTTTAAGATATCTCTATTTCTAAATTAAATTGCATATAAAATAATATTACAAGAACTAATATTTTTGCATGTTTTTATTTTTGTTTCGATATCTAGAAACGATCTTCTAAGGATTGTAAAGATTGTATCGAATATATTAATATCTTGTTTATTGGAATGTATAAATGAATAAATATTGAGTACTATTTATTTTAATTATATAATTTCAATTTTGTGATTGTATAATTTTCTGGGTAAAATAATATTTGAAATAATAAATATAAAATATTTGTTTAAAGTGTATTGCAAGTAAAATAATGAAGCTTTATACTAATTGATAAAGATTCAAAATTTACAATAAAATCAATAACTCATTAAACATTTACATTAAATTCCTATTCTCGCAAATAATAAATTTAAACTAATAATAGTGTAGTTAACAAATATAATTCGATGTTGTAAGACAAGGGGTTAATTAATGTTTCGTAATTAAATATGTTTATCGAAATAGATGGTATTTTTTTTTCTGTTCATCGGTCGACAGCCAGAGCAATTGACTATAGTAGTTGAGGTAAGCAATATTGTATTTTCGGCCGTCTTTGCTGTGGAAATGTTATTCAAGATAATCGCGGAAGGTCCATTTGGATATATAAGTAATGGATTCAACGTTTTCGATGGAGTTGTTGTAGTGCTCAGGTATGTAAAAAAGTAATTATTATTTTTTAATAACATCTATTAAAGATTATGAATAATGAAAAATCAATTAATTTTTATAATAAAAATAATCTTATAAAAAATGATTTATTTTTATATTTTTATAATTAGTATTATTTTCGATTATAATATTTCTATAATTTAAATTAAAGTAAATAAAATTTTGAAGATAAAATCAGTTTAAAAATTTTTATATTTTCCATATTTTGATAAAATCATATTAATAATATAATTGATTTAAATAAAATAATTGCAATATTAAATGAAAAAATAAAAGATTTAAAAATAAAATAAAATTTAAAAATTTTAAAATTAAAAATAAAAGAACAATGAGAATACAGTAAAAAAATATTTTTAACAAGACATCTAATTATAAAATAAAAATTAATTAATATTATTTTTTATATTTTTTTTTGTCTTTTTTGTTTTTTTTTATAAATTTTTTATTTATTATTATTATTTGTTTGTGAATATTAGAAACGATTTCAAATGTTCAGCACAAAAGTTATTTGCGTTAACACGTTAATCTCATATTTTATAAAATAATAAAAAATTATAAATAAAAAATTTTCATAAAAAATTCCTTTAAAGCAGTTTCTCAATTTTGAGTTACAATTTATAAAATTCAAATAATATGTTTTATCTTCTCCCATGTAAAGTATACAAAATTTAAAAAATATGATAATTGGTATAGTAATTTTGTTTTTATTAGGAAAAAAATATTATCTTAATATTTGCATAATCTATATATCAAAATATATTATGAATATTTTATTCCATAATTTTAATATAATAATATCATAATATTAATAAAATTTAATTTTAATATTACAATATTAGCATATTATTATATAATATAATTAATAATATTATATAATATTATTTAATATATCATGTTATACATAATATATCATATTATTATATTAAAATTAAGGGATATTTATATAATCTTAAAATTATTTCTCATAAATATCTTTAGTTTAATAATAAATAATACTTTAATTGAATTTCTGTTTAGATTTTAGAATCATTTTAATAGATACGATTTTATTATTCTATTAATATAATTTTAAAAAATTTAATTTAATTTTTAAACTAAAGAAATAATTAAATATTATTATCTAACTATGAATTTGAATTTGAAATATTGATATTGATTTATATTTAAAAAAAAGTAATAATCTTGAATTTTTGAAATAATAAGAGTTTTGAAATAATACAAATTTCAGATTCGAGTTTTGCGAAACTAAAAAAATTTCTGGGTTGTTAAATTAATTGATAATTTCTCAGAAAAAAATTTTACGATCGTTGGGAATCATTTCGAAAGAATTTTAAAGAGGAGGAAAAATCCGATTTTCTGTTGAACATTTAGCGTGGTGGAGATTTGTCAAGCATTCGTCGAAGAGAGGGGTGGTAGTTCCGGGCTGAGTGTGTTGAGAACCTTTCGGTTACTCAGAATCCTGAAATTGGTGCGTTTTCTACCAAATCTCCGACGACAATTGTTCGTGATGCTGCGTACTATGGATAATGTTGCCGTATTCTTTTCCCTTTTAGTACTTTTCATCTTTATATTCAGGTAAGTTATTATTTTTTACTTTTAGCCAATAAATGCTCGGAAATTATATCGCGGTTCTCAGGTCACGTATGATCGGTCCATAAAAATCGATTCAAGGATCGCGGTTCGCGCATATCGTGGTCCCAAAATATTATATAAATTATATAAATGTACATACTCGTAAGCGCGTTTTGTTCACGGACGCGGATTAACGTCGCGCGTTTAACTCCTGTTCAGATGATCATCTCATATCAGCATAATCGTTTGCATGACCGTCAAATTGAGAATCACTGGATTATCGATGGACTTATTACGGATTGTGGAGAGACTATTTATCAAGGAAAAAAAATCGTTAAATGTCAACGAGATCACCAACATTTGGAAAATTGTCACTCAATCGATAAAGTATCAGTCAGTAAAGTCGTATATGTTCGCATATGCTCATGAAATATGCAAGTCGCGTTTCATCCACGTCTAAGTCTCATTGACATTTATTGTATTTTGAGAACAGCTTCTTGTCCGCTTCCAAGCTTCCACAGGAGCTGGAGCTTGTATGTCATTGCTCTTCGAACACGAAGTGTATTAGGTGACTATGTCTTCCGTTTAATATTCCTTTGTCTTTTTTCTTCTTTATGCGCTTTTTTATTTTTTCTCATGGTATATGGATTGCCGCGTAAATTGCATCTCACACACACACATATATATATATATATATAATAGATGACCGAGTCCGCAGCAACAGTTTTTGTACATTTATTATTACCGACACTGTTGCGCTTGCGAACAGCGTTTTTTGACGTTGTAATGATAATGATGATGGGTGTTTGTTGGCACAGAGGGGTATCTTGTGGCCCTTTCTCATAGCTTGAGGCATCGAACGTGTATATTATTACATTATATTTTTCTTTTTTCTATTTTTTTCTCTCTATATTTTTTTTTTAAATTACAATTTTGGTATTAGAGGACCTGTTATACATATGAATATTTAAATGAATATATATATATATATATATATATATGAATATATAAATATATATTTAAATGAATATATATATATATATATATATATATAAAGATATATATATATATATCTTTATGTGTGCATGGTGCTTTTATTTAGCGACGTATGAGAGCTATATGTGTATATATATATATATATATATATATATATCTACTATTATCTATTAATTATTTATGTATTCATACGTCTTTTTTCTTATTCTATTCTGCTGTCTCTCCCTTTTTTATGCTATGTACTATCTTAAATGCCTAAAAAGTGTGCCTCGATGTGGTCATCAATATTAGACAGCTTGCGAATGAATAATATTGTATCTTTTTCGATTATTTCATTATGCTCACGGCCTTTTGCTATATATATCGCGTTTCAAGGTCATCCGACGATCGATCGATTGTTCACCGCAATTTGTCATAGGCTACGTGTCATTTTTTTGACCATCACCATGTATGATGCAGGATTTTTAACTCTCGCGGTTCAATGATTGGGTCTTTTTTGATCTGGTTAACTCTAATGGTTAGAAACAACATTATTCAATAAAAAATTAGATAAGTTTCATTTTAATTTTAATTTTAATTGAATATGACTCAATTTTGATCCAGTATTCTGCGAACTATACTTCGAGTTAATCTACGGATTTTGTTTCAAGTATCGCACTATTACGAATATATTTTTTTTTATTTAATTTTTTTTTTTCTTTTTGATTTTTGAACTATCTGACGAAAAAATGTGCAAAAGCATTAGCTGATAGCCATGCGGTAGGTGTGAATTCGTTCTATTGCAATATATACTATCGGCCAGAAGCATGATTACTATTTTATGTTACTATTTTTTATGGCAAATTGTGATCAATTAAGTGTGCATTGTGACATACATGTCTTAACAATTTATGATTGAAATGTTATGAATTAATAAATCGAGTTTTGACATTTGATAAAAATGTTTTTGAAGTATCAAAATATTAGGTATAGATATAATTTCTATATTTTTAGTTTTATATTTTATATATATATCTATAATATAATATCTAAAATTTTATTCAAAATACAAGGAAAAATCATAATTTCAGAAAAAAATAATTTGTTATTTTACAATTTTATAATTTTATAATTTTTTTTTATAATTTTACAATTTTTATTAGTTTAAAAATCATTTCTGGAAAGTAGCTTTATTTTATATAAAATCAAATACAGTGAAATTCTTATATATGTAAAGTTCATGGATAATAATAAATACTACGTGTATGTATATTTTATATAGTATTTTATGTAACTATAATTATTAATTAAGTATTCTTATTGAAAAAATTTATAATAAAATATAAAAAATTACAAATAATAATAGTGAAATAAAGAAATAAAAATAATGAAATAATAATAATTATGTAATAATAATATAATAATTTTTTTCGATAATTTTCATTTCTGAATGAAATCTTAGAATTTTTTATTTTTTTCAAATTAAAGATAAATTATCAATATTGAAACTACAAAAAATTAGAATTGCTTTTAAATAATTTTTTATCTCTATTAATACACAATTTCATTTTAATTTAATGTTAAATTAATCATTTTTCAAAAAATTTTAAGATATCAAATAATTTGGATTTTAATATTATTGTTTGTTTTTTAAATAAATTTTTAATAATACTTTTATTGCTTTATTCATTATAATTTAATCAAAATTTGATTTAACAAATTCATTGTTTAAAACATTATATAAAAAATTAGAATATACATATAGAAAATATTTGATTCATTGTTAATTCTTAATTTATTGTATATAATACAATTAAAATTTTTAGTTGATTGAAATTAATAACATTTCGTTTCGTTATAATATTTGTTTTGCAAATATAAATTCTTCACATTAGTAAGATTAATAGTTCTTTCATAGTCTTGGTTCTTTATATAGTCTTCTAAAATTGTATTAATTATTACAACTTTCAAAATTGAAAACTTTGAAAATTGAATTTTGAATTTGTATAAGAAAAGTATTCGAATTCGACATTGTCATAATTTTTTTTGTAATAAAACAATTAATAAAAAATGAATTATATTATATTCAACTTACTTCAAGTTTTAAATTAATATGCAATAAATATTATTTAATACAATATTTAATCGCTATATATATATATACATTCTGAATGATTTCATAAAATCAATATGCAATATTCTAACAATTTTCATATATTTAAATAATAAAAAAATATTAAAAAATATTAAAAAATTTATTTTACAACGTAACAATATTTGTTTTTTATTTATTTCATTTATCTTATTTATTATATATAATAAACATGTGCAAATCTTTTTTAATATAATAAAAACAGAAATTATATATTTTATATGAAATATATGATATTTTATATGAATTATATAAATAATTATTTTCATGAATCTTTCCATTCAAATAAAAAATTATTTAATTTGATAATTGTTTAAATACTGAAATAATTTTAAAAAATATTATAATATTTATTGAATCTAATGTCTTATATATATATATATATATATATATATATATATATGATATATTATTATATTATTATATAAGATTATATATTATTTATGCAATCATTTTTTCAACATTTTAAGCAATAATTTTTCTATAAAATTTTATTAAAAAAAATATGTTTTTATTTATAAGAAATAAATTTTTAAATATTTGTAATCATTAAGTACATAAAATATGAATTTATAATAAAAAAAATAAAGTGTAAACTTAAAAATATAAAATTTTTTTCTATACTTAATATAATAATTGAATTTAATAATTTTATTATTATTTGAAATTACTATATTTGAGTTAAATTTTACATAAAATTAAAGAAAATATCATTTCTAAATTTAATTAAAATATTCTAAATTAAATTAAATATTGATTTTTCTGTAAATTAAATTTTTATACTTTTGGCTGATAGTGTATATCATTATCTAAAAATTTTCCAATAAAATTAATAAATAAAACCGTAAAATAATTGATATTTTCTTTTACAAACTTAGATTTTAATTAAAAAGAAAATAAAATGATCAAATTTTTAAATTGTATCAAAATCGTATGCAATTAGATAATTGTAATCGTACACAATTATAATTGTAATAACAAAATAGAAATTTGTAGTAAATTTATTGAAAATTTTATATGGTTATTTTTTGCAAAAAAAAAAATATTCATTATAATAATTTAAATGAAGATTTATGTTAATATGCATTAGTTAATGCATTATAAAGTAGAACGTACGCATCGTCATCAGGCTTTTAAATAATTACTCGTTAAGTGACTCGATTTATCTTATTTAATAGAGAGAAATTTCTTTTTTTTTCTCTCTCTCATTTAAGTTTTTTTTTCCCGCTTATTCATCCTTTATTTACCTTCATTCCACCTCCTCCCCTATCTATATCCTTGGTTCTTACTACTTTTCTTTTTTCTCTCTTTCCCTTTCTCTCTACCGTACTACATATATCTATCTATCTATCTATTTATCTATATATTTATGGATAAGGAAGTACATTGCACGTTTCGTTGTGTTGTAGTATTCTCGGGATGAACCTGTTTGGTTGCAAATTCTGTGAAACGATGAAAGGCAGCTCTGACGTCGAGTGTGATAGGAAAAACTTTGACTCGTTACTCTGGGCTATTGTGACAGTGTTTCAGGTACCTACAAAGGATACTTTTCCACGTATCTCTCTCGAGGGCTTTTTTTCCTCTATAGTGTATATTATATATTATATATTATATTATATATATTTATATTCGTATACATATTAACCTTACACATATGCATCCATGTATGCTATAAGTTATTTTATATATGTGTATATATGTATATATATAAATATACATATATGTTCCCATATATGTTCCATATACAGTACATATAAATACGTATGATATATACATACATACATATATATATATATATATATATATATATATATATATGTATATATATATATATATATATTACATTTATCAATGAAATGACAAAAGCTTCTCGTACCGACCGCAGACCGTGTGTCATCTACTACGATTTATGATTTCGCAAAGCCTTAAGGTAATGTATGAGAGATACATACACGAACAGAAACGAATAATATTCTTATGGCATGCAGCCGTATCGAGGTAGGAGGAGGCCACGGATCATTCGAACGACTGAACCAGATGATGATGATGATGATGATGTTTCTTCGCTTTTTCTTACTCGTCTAATACGCAATCGCTGCTTAGCGATTAGAGAGTAAAATGCGTTTTAAAATGCGCGCCCATTTTCCATTGCGTCGAATTAGTCCTCGGATATAATGCTTCCGCTATTTTCGATTCTTTTGCATATCTTGCTTCCGCTCAAAAAGTTTCTTTATGCGGTTTCTATTTGTACTTTACGCGAATTGAATTAATTTCGATGATTTTCACGTGTATATAATTTTAAAATATTGAATGAAAGGAATGAAAGAAAAAAAGGAAGAATAATATTAGTATTAATATTAGTTATATTATATTAATATTAGTATTATTTTTTTTTTTATTATTATATTATTATAATTATATTATTATATATATTTATATTATTATAATTTCTTTTTTATATTATCATATTAATATATATACGTATACAGAATGCTTCGTTTAAAATAAGTTAAATAAAACATTTGAAAAATATAATAAAATATTTATGAAAAAATATTTTAATATAAAAATTATTTTATCTAAAAGAGAATATCATATTGTGTAAATAATTTTTTTTGCAGATTAAATAATGGAGAAGATTTTAAGATTTTAGACTTTAGATTTTAATTTTATTTTTTTAATGAAACTATATAATTTTGAATATATTAATCGATTTATCTGGGTATTTGTTACAAAAAAAAAGTAAAAATATTAAGGATAACAAAAGTAAAATATTAAAAACAATTTTTACAAATTTCGATTAGGAAACACGTTCTAAATCAATGGTTTTTATATAAGCAGATTAATATTTTATGCTTAAATAAATTAAATGCATTCAAAATTATATAGTTCTATTTAAAATAAATGAAGTTGAAATTTCTCTTATCAATCGATTTACAATAAAATTTTTTGCATATTTATGATATCTTCTGTTTATTAGAACACTTTATATATATAATAATTTTAATTAATTAATCATAAGATATTTGATTATATTAAACAATTAATATATTAAATTATAATATATTAATTATAATATATTAATAAATAATTAACAATTAAACGAAACTTATATATTATTATTGTATAACTTGTATATTATTAACAAAATGCAAAATTTTTTGTTTGATATTTTTAAGAAATAGTATAGAACATTTTTGATCAAATTACAATTTCAAAAATATTTGTGTTGAAATTTATAGATTATAATTATAGATCGAAAGTTAAATATTTTATAAATTATTTTGTTTTTGTATATATTATTTATTTAAAGAGAGATTTGAATGAACTAAGATAATAATTACATAGAAATTTCTATTAAATAAGTCTATTAAATAAAGTAATTTAAAATAAAAAATGCTGATATTACGAATATTTTTCTGCAAAAAATTGATAATAAAAAATTACTTAAAAAAAAAAAATTAAAAAAATGAATGAAAAAAATGACGCAAATAGAAGAAATTATAATATATATATATATAAAATAGAAGAAAAAATAAAATAGATATTCTAGATATCTAATATATAATATTATGAAATTATAATATTTAATTAAAAATTGATTTGCTTTTTCTGTCTTTCATATTTTTCTATAATGGAAATATAATAAATATATAATAAGTACATAATAAATATAATAAATTCTATAAAGAAAAAATATATATATATATTTAATAATATATAATAATAATAATATATTAATAAATATATTAATAATATATTATAATATATATTATATTATATTAATAATATATTAATAATATATATATAAAATATATATATATAATTTTTGATAATCAATTGATCAAAATTATCTCAAAATATATAAATAAAAAATTTTCGAATTGAATTTAAAATGTGAATTATAAATCTATAATGGATCTAATTTAAATTCTTATATTAGATTTTAATAAAAATATATTTTCTTTTTCTAAATCCATATTCTGTGTTTCATAACTTCAATGATAGTTTTACTCAAATTCATTGTAACCTATAAAGTAGCAGAAAATAATTACAAATAGTTAAAATATTTTAATAAATGTGAAATTTCATGATTATCAGATAATAACAATCTCGATTATTAAAAAGAAGACAGATTCGCATATGAAATATTTAGAAACCGTTTAAAAAACATGCTGATAGCCAATGAATGAAAGATCTTACATCACATCTTACAAAATACATTTTCTTCTTTCTTTCGCAAAATAAAATTCGAACAAAATCGCCACAATTACTTTCGATCAAATTTATTTTCGTTTCGATAGTCCACAATGCCTTCGACCGAATAATTTTCTCTCGATTAAGTAAATATCTGTGATATAAGCTCTTTGCTCGCAAGAAATAACGCTTAGTCGTCGCATCTTGCGTACAAACAGCAATTTATATTGAGGAAATGCTTTGCATTTGTTTATGTTCTTGTTGTGGTCGTCGCAAGTTGCATAAATTTTCACTTATAATAGCCTGCTGCCACAATTTTTTTTCCACAATTTCTTCTCTGACATGAAATGGAGTGATAAGCGACTGACATTTCTACGTTTTCCTTTTAGCATTCTGGTAGAAGGTTGTTGAAAATTTTCTTCGTTAATGGAGATATTTTTTGTTTTGAATTGTCGCATCAGCATAGATGGAAAACACCAACCATTTTTTTTCTATTTTTCTTTTTTTTTTTTTCGTATCAGCGTTTATTCAAACTTTGATCACTTTTATTTCGATTAATCGTACGCTCGTGTCGTGCATGTTAATTATTATCGTTCATATTCTATATACGCTTTGCATGCTGATATATATCTTCCCAAATCGTGTTGTTGTTGCTGCTTCTCGTCGCTGTTAGCCTTGACCGTGTTTCAACATGCACACATTTCTTTACAATATCTATATTCGATCATACAGACATTTCGTTACACTGTAAAAAATGGCAATCCGAATTATAAATGTGATATATAATTATAAATACAGTATATATATTTGACTGATTGACGCAGGGATCTCTAACTTTTGTGATGGTATTTTTCACGGGTGAATTTTGAAATTCTTGTTTTTATTTTGTGATAAAGTAATAAGTATTGAAAATGAGAAATTTTTAAAGAATTGAAGTATTCGTTGAGATAAAAAATATTTGATATAAGATTTAAAATCTATTTTTTGAGTAAAGTAATTTAATTTCTATAATTTAACTTTGGAAGATTAGGTTAATATTGAATTAATAACATTAAATAAAGTTTATAATTTGAGAGTTTATAATCTTTATAATATATAAAGATTATAATTTGAAATCGATTTGTCTTGAAGTAATATAATTTGTTATTTATATGAATTGGTCATGAACGACCATAATAATTTAAATTAGATTTCAGGATTTATTTTAAAATATAATTTCGTATTTGCGTGCTATTCAATACTGAATTCATATCTATTATAAATAATTACAAGTTTAGTTAGAGATTTTATATTATATATTTATATATTTAGATTTATATATTAGATTTATATATGAATTTATTATTATATATGAAATATATTATTATATATTATGATCTAAAATCAATAATCTTGGAATAAAGTATATTTTATATTTATAAGTAATTTAATTAAGAACTTAATATTGTTAGACATTATTATTAGATATTAAGAAATTTTTTATGTAAATTATGACTTAACTGAACTATTTTAAAATTATATACATGTATTTCTATATCAAATTGTTATAATATATTTTTTAAACTAAATTATTTATAATATTAGAGAATGAACTATATTTTAATAATATAGATATTCATACATTTTAATATTCTTTATAAAAAAGAAAAAAGAAAGAATTAAACTATGTATATACATTGAAGAACTAATTTCAGAAATATTTTATATTTAATTTTGTAAAATATATTGTATCAAAGACAAGGAAGACATGAAAAGAATTTTGTGTTTCTTGTCTTTTATATCATGACTTTAATATAAGTAAATTTTATATCATAAGTAAAATTAATATTAAAAATTTAATATAAATAAAAATATAAAATATTTTTTAAATTAATATTTTTTCGACAAAAATAAATTAATAATTTTTTTATGAAGAATCAACATGCATAAAAAAATGATTTCATTTAAAAAAAAAATAATAAAATAACTTTAAAACTAAAATTTTTAGTTATTGTTTTAGTTAAAACTTACTAATTATAAAAAAAAAACTATCATCATATAATCCTGTTTATATTGAATAATTTTTGTTCATAAAATTTTATTTATAAAATTTTTGATTTTGATATTATGTGTACATTTTATTATGGTATTTGAAATATATTATTTATTTTTTTATAAATATATTACATTATATTTATTGACAAATAAGTCAGATATAATAAGACGAGTAAATCAAGCTGATTAAACCTTCTAATAAGAAGACAATATATTAAATATTTATATATATTTTGTTTTGCATAAAATATATTGACTCTAGAATTTATGAAATATTTTTTATTTATTTTGATAAATTT